ATCCGATGACAGTGTGTATAGAGACAGAAAGAACTAGATTTATTATCCATGGCATTTTGACTAATTTGGAGCAAATCTTATGCAAACTATATAGGTACAATTTTACATTTACAGAAAATAGAGTAACTATTGCTAAAAGAAAAAAAATGACACAAAAATACAAAATAGTGATATTTTTAAAAAATTAATTAAATGATAATTGTCAACAGTAGCTATTTGTATTTTAAGAAAAAATACAAAACATTTTACATTATTTGTGTGCTTCCCTGGTATCTCAGCTGGTAAAGAATTCACCTGCAATGCAGGAGACCCCATCTCAATTCCTGGGTCAGGAAGAGCCGCCTGAGAAGGGATGGGCTACCCACTGCAGTACTTCTGGGCTTTCCTTGTGACTCAGCTGGTAAAGAATCCGCCTTCAATGTGGGAGACCTGGGTTCGATCCCTGGGTTGGGAAGATGCCCTGGAGAAGCGAATGGCTACCCACTTCAGTATTCTGGCCTGGAGAATTTCACAGACTGTATAGTCCGTGGGGTCGCAAAGAGTCAAACATGACTGAGCGACTTTCACTTTCACTGCTTTTGTTTTAGAAGATATTGTTACTTTCTGCACAGAGACTGCAGATTATAATGTAATGAGTAGGCAGGCAAAGACTTAAAGAGTATGTAGTAAATACAAAATTTTAAGTTTTCTAAGAAACAGTACTGGTTTCACCCACTGGTGTAATTTTCACTTTCACAGCTTGTCTGGATGTCCTCTCAATGCACAAGCCATCAAGAAGGGCAAGGTCTCCGAAGAACTAATGACCATCAAGGTCAAAGCATCTGGAGGTAGGAGGACAGGGCGGGGCCACGACCCCCGAGGTTTGGCCCCCCAGGGGGCCCACATCCAAACCCTGCTCCATGCTGGAAGTGCTATTTGAACAGGCAAGAAAGACACTTTCCTGAAATTTGAACTAAGCTATAACTTTCTCTAAAAAACAATGTCTTGGTTTTTTTGCTTATTTTTTAATAAGGATCTCCAACAGAGAAAATCAGGCAATGATGCTGGATGAATTAGGGTACACTGATTGAACTTGTGTCCTTCAATCTTAAAATGACAGATTTTGTATGAGCCTGCATGTATGTGTGTTCCTGGTATGAGCCGTCTATCAAATTTCAAGGTCTGGGCACCTATGTTTGAATCCTTACCTTTTGTCCTAACACCTAGAATGATATTTTTATGGTGAGTCCAGATGGTTTAATTCAGCATCTCTGTGTCTATTTCCATGCACGTTTTCCCAGGGCCGACCCCCGACATAGTGGCTAAGCCACCCTCCCTACTGGAATCTTCTCATGTCCTCTGATTCCCGAGTACTTTTCTTGAATTCTCATCAGCGTTTTCTCATGCATGTGTTCTTCTCTTACAAGATCATCCTGATGCATCTGGGGAACAGAGGCGAAGTCACTACTTTGCTTTATCGATTTTAGTCGATGGCATCTTTGACACTCAGTTCTACACGAGTAGAACTGAGCCAGGAACTCGCAGTTTTTGCTACTTTATTTCCCTGAAAGCATTGCTCCATCTTTTAAATCCATGCGTGACTCTTAGAAACAGTGGCTTGTTTCCAGGTTATGCTTCCATGCACAATATACCTCGTGCACCTCGCACATCTTCCTGTTGTAGAGTTTGCCCCAGGTGTGGGCCTAAGGATAAAGTTGCTGGGCCGTGGAGCCTGTGAGGCCCAGCTTCAGTAGGTGATGCACTGTTGTTCCAGAACAGTCACCCAGGAGGGTACCAGAGCCTGCACCTCTTCACACAAGCTGTCGACTCCCACCCAGCCTGCTTCCAGGCATTGATCTTACTAAATCTAAATGTTGGCGACCACATTTATCCTGCTGAATTGTCATCTTCTGGTTTAGAGTTGTCATTCTGGACTGTTGAGATGACCTTAAATCCTGCTCCTGGCCTCTGAATATTAGCCACTATTCCTAGCTTTTAAAATCTTTAATATTCATTCATATTCCTCTTATAAAAGAATGACGGGAAGATAACCCCGTTCATTGAGAACCTGTTGTCTGTTTAGCACTTTATGTTTTTTTGTGTTAATTCTCACAGCATTTTATTGAAGCATGAGGAGGTAAAGTAACTCAACTTCAAGAACAAGGGTCAGGCAGTGTTCAGACTCCAAAGCCGCACTGCCCTCAGACCACATTTGCTTCTGATTAAAGTCCATGAAGAAGCCAAGCTGTGGGTCCCTGGGCTCGAACCCACCTGCCAGGACCCCCCTCTGCCTCTAATAGTGGCTCAGAAGGTCCCTAGGTTTGGTCATTAATCAGCTCAGTCCAGGTGCTCCTGTCTTGGTAGCATTGTGCACAAGAGGACTCACAGGCCTTGGATCTCAGGTCTGCCCTGCCCCTTCCCTTGGCCCCAGCCAGGTGATGTGGTCGTGTGGGTGGTCAGTGAGCCTCCTTTAGCCCTTGTGAGGCTCTGGCCTTCATGGGAGGAGGGATGATGACACCTGCCCCACAGGGTCCAGCCAAGTTCCAATGAGACCTTACTTGTGAACCCATCTGGCAGCAGACCTAGAACACAGCAGAGCTACATTTAACCCTAGGGCATGTCTTACCAAGGGAGTACATCCTGCAACTCTTTAAACACACTTTCTTAGAATCTTGGACATGGATTTGGGTAAAAATTCAACATTTCAGTTAAAGTCTTACTTTCACTTGTCATTTTTCATTCGCCAAGTCGTGTCCAACTCTTCGCAACCCCATGGACTGCAGCACATCAAGTTTCCCTGTCCCCCACCATCTCCTGGAGTTTGCCCAAGTTCATGTCCATTGCACTGGTGATGCCATCCAACCATCTCATCCTCTGTCACCCTCTCCTTTTGCCATCAATCTTTCCCAGCCTCAGGGTCTTTTGCAGTGAGTTGGCTCTTTGCTTCAGGTGCCAAATTATTGAAGCTTCAGCTTCAACATCAGTCCTTCCAATGAGTATTCAGGGTTGACTTCTTTTAAGATTGACTGGTTTGATCTCCTTGCAGCCCAAGGGACTCTCAAGAGTCTTTTCTAGCACCACAGTTCAAAAGCATCAATTTTTTGGCGCTCTGCCTTCTTTACGGTCCAGCTCTCACTTAGCAAACCACAAATTAAACATAAATGGACTCAGATTAGTCAGTCTTCTTTTTTCACTTGAACTGAAATAATCTGACTTTTTTCAGGTATAGAGAGTGATGAAGAAATTAGGCATTTGGATGAAGAAATAAAGGAACTCAACGAGTCCAACCTTAAAATTGAAGCTGATATGATGAAACTCCAGACACAGGTAAAAAGAAAGAAAGAGGGAAGGGGGTCAGGATGGGACAAGACCCACCTGGTGCCCTGTCCTTCTGGAATCTGCTTCCATGTTCCCAAGTTCTCTCCCTTTCAGATCACGTCCATGGAGAGCAACTTAAAGACCATCGAGGAGGAGAACAAGCTGATAGAACAGAACAATGAGAGCCTGCTGAAGGAGCTGGCGGGGCTCAGCCAGGCCCTCATCTCCAGCCTTGCTGACATCCAGCTCCCACAGATGGTCAGTCTGAGGCCACGGCTCCCTCCCCGTGCCCCCAGCCTGTCTCCCAGGGCTAGGGCAGAGGGGTGGCTCGGGCAGGGGAGACCTGCTGGTCGCTCGGTCCTTCCACTCATGTGCAGTTTCCACGTGTCGGGGGCTGTTCAGTCTGAGACATCAGGTCAGGGAGAGGAGGGGCCCCAGCACACAGAGAGCCGAGGTGAGCAAACCTGGCTGTGGCTCCCATCGTCACCTGGAGGGACAGAGAAAGGGGGAAAAGAGCCTGCCTCTGACTCTCCAGAAGGGGGATGTGGGCAAAGGGGTCTGAGGATGAAAGAGGACAATTCCCACCAGACAGCTGCCCCCTCACCCCCACATCCCTTTGGTCCCAGCTCAGGGCAGTCTGGGGAAGCTTCTGGCATGAGCAGGGCCTCCCCTCCCCCACCTGGCCTGCACCCCCTTCCACAGATGAGGTCTCCGTGCTGAGCTCATGGACACATGAGCTGAGGCTGAGACCCCTCCTCAGCAGAAGGGGTGTAGCTGGGAGGGGCCTGACCCAGTAGCCAGACCTCCACCCTGTGTGGCTCCCAGCTTTTCCCAAAGTATGGACAGGCGGACAGCCTTCCCAGATGGCGCTAGTAGTAAAGAACCTGCCTACCAATGCAGGAGACGTAAGAGACGTGGGTTCAATCCCTGGGTTGGGAAGATCCCCTGGAGTAGGGAATGGCAATCCATTCCACTATCCTTGCCTGGAGAATCCATGGACAAAGGAGCCTGGTGGGCTACAGTCCATGGGGTCTTAAAGAGCCGGACACAACTGAAGGGCTGGTGCACATGCACAGACAAGTGGTCACACTCACCCCGGTAGCTGAGTTAAGAGTGAGCAGACCAGCCCATCACACACTCACCCCTGCCTCCCCCTGAACTCCGACCGCCACACGGGGCCCCTCACCCCTCCCCAGGCTCCAGGGTCGGAATACCACACCCCGTACACCTGCTCCCCCTTCCCCAGCAGCCCAGGTCACGTGACTGGAGCCCCATGTTCTGTCCTCCTTCAGGGGCCCATCAGCGAGCAGAATTTCGAGGCGTATGTCAACACGCTCACAGACATGTACAGCAACCTGGAGCGGGACTCCTCGCCGGAATGCAAAGCTCTGCTGGACAGCATCAGGCAGGCGGTCAAGGGCATCCACGTGTAGACAGCAGCGCCCCAGCCCTGGGGAGCCCGGCCAGCCTCCCAGACGCACCTGGAGGGGCTCCAGGCCACCCGGGCAGGCGTGGCCATACTGCATTTACAATTGCAACATTGCACTAATTCCCCCCCCCCCAGCTGACATGAAAAGGAAAGAAAAACTATGATAGACTCTTTGGATGAAAAAGCAATGCAGTCAAATATTAGATCTTATTTATTTTCATATGTTTTCCTTTTATTCCTTCATTGCACTCTTTTGGGTTTTTTTTTTTGTACAGTATATGTAAAATAAATGTGACATTTTTATATTTTATTTATTTCTAATCAAAGAGTTTTTTATCTTTTAACTGCATTTTGAAGTCTGCCATATTTTTACAAGTGTGTTTATTAATTTATTTTCCAATAGAATTTAAATATTAGAAATGCTATTCTCAAATCACATATCTGGCTGGGTTTAAAGGAGGAGACAAAAAATATGAAGGAAAATCCTTGTCTAAGGACTGCACTGTGGTCCAGTTTGATTTTTATTGCACACTCTACCCCCACCCCCAACCCCTTTCACGAGCTTTGTGTTTATGACCGGGCTTGGGTAAAATGTGTGGAGGGACACAAGATAAAAGGCACTCACTCACAGGATGTGTGCCCTACAGAAAGAAGCACAGTGGACTGAAAACCAGCCTGTTTCAAATTTGTTAGCAATAATTAAATAGAGCAATCAGCAAAGTATTCGACTTCGCTGTCTGGTTTCAGTTCATATGAATTATTTATTTGAAATTATTTCAAGAAACAAGCTTTTTAGAGATGCAAGTTTGTCTATTTGTTTTTCAGGTTACACCAGATAGCTGGCAGCTCTTACCCCAAGACGAGAAGTAAGACTCGATGTGACTGGCCAGGCTTTCCTGCCACTTGTTGGTACAATACACAAGGGACAGTGTTGTAGATTTGTACTTAGCAAATGTAAACGCACCCAAATGGAAAACTGTGTAGATACCATATCCCCCTGAAATAGCATTTATCTTACTGGGTTGACTGGAAAGGAGTGGAAAATACAGTCACACAAGCAAGAAGGGTACCCGGATCTGAGTCATTGCTTTAAACACTGGCAACATTGTCTCAGCCTCCTGAGCTTTCGATTTGGCAAAAGTCTTTCTGCAGACAGAGGCGTGCTGCAAAGTACACACACTCACCCACAGGCACACAGACACGCTCACCGACACGAGATTGAGCCTTCGATCTCGAGTTTCTGGATGGATCAGAGGTTAGTAGTTGCTATAGGAAAGGCGATGTCTATTTCAGGGATTGTAAAGTAGTTAAGCATTGTTTCAAAAGTTTTTTTATATTTATTTTTTTTAAGAGAAAGGTATAGACAACCAGCTAAACTGCCTTTTTGCTGTGCACACACCCTGGGTGTGCGACGTGCCTCTGTGTAAATGGGCTTGATTTCTGTGCTGTAACAAAGTGTTTATTTTTCTTAGCAACATGGATGTGTATGTGGACTGGATGCCATGGCGCTCGCAGGCTTGCTGTTTTCCACTGTTGTGACTGTTGCTGCACCAGTTGAAGCGCCGTGCGCAGTAATTCCCCCCACCGTGACACTAGTCATTGTTCTGTATTAGGTGGGGCTTATCTTTGGTTTGGCGTTCATTGAAATCCTTGACTCTTAGTCTAGTGAAAATGAGATGTCTGTTCTTAGGTAGGAGCGGTGAGTCTTTAAAATCAACTTTAAGAAAAAAGAGCTAACGCGTGTGCTGTCTATTATAAACGGGACACCAAACGAAATTTTCTATTAAAGTTATGTATTTACAAACATTTTGCTATACAGTCCTCGATAGATGCATACAAATGAGTTCACTTATTACAAAGACAAAGGTTTAATTTGCTAAATATTTTAACGAGTTTGTTATATATTTTATTTAATTTAAAAGAAATCTCTTACCAACCTATGTATTTATTACCATAATTTACTGCAATTCAGGTTCGTTGATTTGTGTTTGCGTAGTTTGAACAGGATGGTTTTGTGAAGGATGTTTGTTTTTATTTGCCTCCTTTGTACTTGGTCTGTTTTGTAACGTGCACTGAATTTTTGTTTCTTTCCATGATGTTAATGATCGATACTGTAAATTGGGTCTTTTGTAAACAAACAAACAAAAAGGCAATGATGTATGCATTTTTTTAATTTGAAGTAGTTTGTATACCGTTTCTTCAAACAATTAATATTTCTTACATCAAAGCAACCGATTGTGTTCAGTGCTGTACATTTGGTGTATGGTAGGAAATAAAAACGGAAAAGAATTTCACTGTGGTCCTTCTCGAGCTACTATATAGAGATGCTTGTGGCCAGCCCATGATAAACACTGTCCCCCTGCCCCAGGAGCTCAGTGGGGGAGGGGAGGGCACCTCTGAGCCTCTGCGTCACTTTGATTCTATGGGGTCCATCAACCAGTCTGCTTGGCTTGATTTCTCACCCCAAGTGGAGAGGACATTTTGCCAGCTGCTATGCCATCCCAGCCTGGGTTCCAGTAAATGCACATACAGAAGGGCCATTGCCTCCGATGTCAGGAAACCTTTGCTGGAAATTCACCTGCGTCTGGTGAGCAGTAAGAGAGAGGCCCCACCCTCCTAATGCTAACCCTGCTTGAAGAGTATCTCTGTGTATTCCTACAAGCCAGCTGAACTCAGATTAAAGGAAAATTGTTAATTCTTCACAGCACCTCTTTGTCTTGCATATTTTTCCTATCTCGTTTCAAACAGCTTGATTTAATTTTCCAGTTTCTTGCTCACTTTTACACGTCTCTAGGTTGGTTGCCATTTATACTCAATATAGTTTTTTTTTTAAAAAACCCATGTCATCCTTGTGTTAAAGCAAACTTGACTGAAAGGGAGTCTGGGTCCCCAGAGAAAAGACAGATACCTGAGTAGACCTTTGCATCACAGGGGCTGGCACACAGCAGTTAAAGATAATATTTAGCTTGTTTTTTTTTTTAATATTTTAAAAAATTTTCTTATTTATTTGGCTGCATCAGATCTTAGTTGGAGCAAGTGGGGGACTTCACTGTATCACTCGGGTTCTGTCCTTGCGGCCTCTGGACTCGAGAGTTGTGGCTCCAGACTCTAGGCATGCCGGCTCAGTAGTTGTGGTATTCAGGCTTAGTTGCTCCGAGGCATGTGGGATCTTTCTGATCCAGGTATCGAACAGATGTCCCCTGTATTTCTAAGCTGATTCTTTAACCACTGGACCACCAGGGAAGTCCTTGTAGCTCTCTTGTAATCACCAGTTGATGTATCTACGATGCACATGTGATCCATCCTATGAAGGAATCGCAAGCCGCAAACCTGCTCCATGCACTCCTTGCAGAGCACGGGCATCTTGCCCTCCATGGAGTTTTATATCCACGAGCCACTTACACATCCCAGTCGATGTGAAAGAAGAGGAGAAACAAGACAGGATGCCGAGTCAGAGATGTTCAGACGACAGGTGTTTTATCCGAAGACGCGTGTGCCAGGCCCACTCCCGGGGAGTTCCGCCTAGCAGGGGACAGGGAAGTGAGTGACAGGGACACAGCCTCCTATGGACACAGTGAGCAGGGTACCACCCTGACTCCGATTCCCTGGAGAGAAGCGCTGGTTACAGACGAGTTGGCAAGTTGGAAGAAAGAATTTGCAGGCAGCGTGGAGAAGCATCTACAAAAGATGACAATGAGACGGTCATCCACCAAGCAGGTGTTTGAGATATCCAAAAATGAGTGAGAAGTGAGGCCATAAGAAGCAAGAAGCCCAGGTAAGTGGGAGAGGGGATCATTTTATAAACATCTGTGCTAAAGAATTGTAATTTCCACACACAGATTTCAGAATACCAAAGAAAGATCTAAAACCAAAGAAGGATCAAATCTCCATTAAAGACCATGTATTCCATTCATTCAAACAATTACACCAGGCTCCTCCGTCCATGGAATTCTCCAGGCAATAGTATTGGAGTGAGTTGCCATGCCCTTCTCCAGGGGATCTTCCTAACCCATGAATTGAACCTGGGTCTCCTGCATTGCAGGCAGATTCTTTACTGCCTGAGCCACCAGGGAACCCCTACAATTTCTTACCTGAATGCAATACAATTGTGTTCAGTACTGTACCTCTGATATTTGGTAGGAAATAAAAACTGATTGTGAGTTTCGCTGTGGTTGTTTTCAGATGAAAACCTTGTCACCAACCCGTGAAAAGTCCTGGAGCCTTTAGGCAGAGAAGTAAAATTCTTCCACTGTAATTTTGAGCAAAAAGAAGAGGGTAAATGAGATTTTGATTTGGCTCCCTAGAAAATGTTTTAAAAATTGACATCATGATACATAAATATTTTACTAATCTTCTTATAACTCATGTTTTCTATGTCTCTTTCCACACATCACATCCATTTTATTGTGGTCTGGGAGCAGTACCTTGCTATTTCCTGTCATGATTGAGCAGTTGATTACAACACAAGCAGATTTAATTGGTTAACCACTGTCAACACCGCCAGACCCCATCACTGATGCCCATATAGTCATGTCCTGAAATCCTCAAGCACGTTTATGAAGTAAACATCCTGAGGCCCAAAGACACTGATGAGGAAACTGTTGCTCAGGAAAGTAGGTAAGTTGTCCAAGACCAGAAAACCAGGAAAAGATACATTCAGATTGGACCACTTTCCACTGTTTTTAATATCTCAGCCATGGGGCTCTGTCTACTTACCTGTGAGTTGTTCTGTCAACACAAAGAAAGAAAACAAGAATTAGTCAAGATTATGACATCTGTTGGTATTCACTTATTTCTTTCAGGTCTAAAACTAAGAAAGGGATTTTAGGGCCAGTTCTAATAAACACTGCTATGTGCTTTTCCAAAGCTGAATGTTTTTTTAAAAAAAAAAAGATTTGTTGGGCCCAGACACATGTGTGCTAAGTTGCTTCAGTCATATCCGACTGTTTCAATCCTATGGACTGCAGCAAGCCAGGCTCCTCTATCCATGCGATTCTCCAGGCAAGAACACTGGAGTGGGTGCCATTTCCTTCTCCATGGGACCTTCCCGACCCAGGATCAAACCAGCATCTCTTATGTCTCCTGCATTGACAGGGGGATTCTTTACCCCTAGCACCACCTGGGAAGCCCAGATTTGTGGACTATCCCTAAATCCTGATGGGACAACAGCGCCTCCTGGTGTTCTGAGGTCCTGAGTTTGTCCTTGTAGCTTCCTAGACCCAACGCTTGGAAAGGTTTCCATCAGCATTGCAGGACTTGGAGAGTGAATAGTTTGTCTCACATGCCAGAGACAAATCCAGGGTCAGGATTCAACCCAGTTCTGACCCCCAGAGAAGCCCCTGTCCCTCCTGTAGGCCATCAACAGCATCCAGTCAACCCCCGACTTCCCAGCCGACGTCCAAACAGGCTGAGGGGAGAAGGGGTCAGTGTCACCACCAATCTGGATAAAGTTGTTCAAAGAAGCATCATTTTTGCATTTCAGCCACACCCCTGTGATGTGTTTTTCTTGTACAGACCCATCATGCAAATCTGACACCCTAATCATTAACTTGACAAATTGGGATTGAAAATCTTCATTTGGATTGTAATTGCCCCCAAATAAGGAAAATATAAATGACTTATATTTGCTGTTGTTTTTAAGGCAGAACAACATAATTATTGAGTTGAATTCAAAGCTGCCTTGTGTAGGATTGACAGCTTCACATTGGCCTCCAATGAGTAAAGGACACTCTGTGCCGACCTTTACCAGTGATTAAATATGTAGAAACATAAAGAGAATGGACATTTCCCTGCTCTAAGAAACATCTGCTGTTTCAGAGTTTTCCACTCAAATATGTATTATCATATATAAATGCAGCTATTTTCCTTCTGTGACCGATTACCTTATTCGGTCTGGAATGAAATCCGGGACTGAGTGTACGAGGAGATAGTTTAGATGTTTGGAAGGAAGAATGGCACTTTGGGGACAGACATTAACAGTGCTTGTGAAGGATCAAACATCTATCCATTGGAAATCGCTGTGAACATTTCTCGCCAAGACTAGCATCCTTGAATTTCAGAAATAAGGCCCGAGGGGACTTCCCTGCTGGTTCTGTGATTGGGAATCCACCTGCCAATTCAGGGGACACATGTTCAATCCCTCATCTGGGAAGATCCCACATGCCAGGGGGTAACTCCACCCATTTGCCACATCTATGGAGCCCGTACATCCTAGAGCCCATGCTCCACAACGAGAAGCCCCTACAATGAGAAGCCCAAGCACCACAACTAGAGAGTAGCCCCTGCTCACCTCAACCAAAGAAAGCTACATGCAACAACAAAGGCCCAGGGCAACAAAAAAAATAAAGAAATAAATAACGCCCTCGGACCAGAGAGGAAGAAGCTTCCACACCCAGTTCTGGCTGTGCCGTGCTCTGATGCACCCAGACCAGACCTCCCTGCCTCCAGGAAATCCTTGTCCAGGAAGAAAGTGTTTCAGCACTTTCAGTATTTGTCAGCAGCTTCTCAACTATACACATATCGCATCAGGAAGGACTCACCATGTTCTTGTTGGAAACACTCCTTCTCAGAACAACTGACACCCCAGAATGACTGTTCATGTTTGAAGATGCTCTCTGTCTCCCTCAATTCACCGGGAGCATCTCTTCCAAACCCACTAAGACCCTGTGCAGCTGCATAAATAAATGAAAATAAATATTTTAACAAAAAAATTAATGAAGAGTGAATGCAAATTCTTTATGGACAACATGTGTGTGTGCTAAGTCAATTCAGTCGTGTCTGACTCTGTGCAACACCATGGACTCTAGCCCACTAGACTCCTCTGTCCGTGGAATTCTCAGGCAAAAATATTGGAGTAGGTAGCCATTTCCTTCTCCATGGGGTCTTCCCGACTCAAGGATTGAACGCTGGTTTCCGGTCTCTCCAGCATTGGCAGGTGGAATCTTTCGTCACTGAGCCACTGCGGAATGTGCAGAAGCTAATTCCCCGGCCTGGACAAGCAGAATTTGACTGGTTCCCACGAGTACTGCCAAATGCCCAGGACAACTTAAAAAAGTGTGTGTGCGTGCGCACAAACATGTGTCTGTTTTAACATTTATTCAGTGCTGAACATTCACCAGGGGTTTCCCAGGGGCTTTGCATGCGTGATTTAACTCTGACTACAATTCTGAGAGTTACGAGCGACGTCGATCATCGCACACTCTAAGGAGGAGTCACCCGGGGGCCGAGTCACGGGGGCTCGGCTGAGGCCCGCTGTCCACGGCCCTTCCCAGCCTGGAGACTGTGCTCATCCACGCCGCCCTCACCCCTGCCCTTCTCGTCCTCCTCCTGCTCCCTGTGCAGGAGCAGCCGGCTCAAGTCCTGGCTAGTGCCACCGGGCGACACAAATCCATGCTGCACAGAGCAGCTTGAATAAAATACAGTGTTAAAATTCACCTTCATTTTGTTATACTTATTTTTTTTTAATGTAACTGCTAGAAAATGTGAAGTCTGCGTGTGGCTCTCACTGCATATCTCCTGGACATCATCATCGGACCATCTCTTCTTTAAGAAGCCAGAAGTGTGTTCAGGAAGAAAAACCATGAGTGTGTTTCTGCAGATGAGAAGTCGCAGTGCTTCTTTCCTCCCCTTTCTGTTCTTTTGAGGGAGAAATTGCCAAATTATGAAAACATCCGAGACCTATTATAAATTTTATGTGTTCAGGCAAGAAAGCAAAGCAGCTAATCGCACCATTAAATCTATAAATGTATTGAATGTGTTCGCACAACCTGAAAATTCACTCATTTCAGCTTTTTTTTTAAACAATTACCAATCTACACAACCAA